AAGGTAAAAACTAAATGTTAATAAATGCATTGGTGCTCATTACCTTTTTAATTATGACTAAAGAAAACACCAAACCAATTTCCATTCAATCTATTTTGAAGCTGAAACTTTTTTTTTTTCCTATTTCCTCTGCACCATACTCAGCACTAGTAGTAGCATTCTGTGGTGCCTACATTGTTGGTGGTTTTTTTTTTTTGTTTGTTTGTTTGTTTTTCTTGGGGGGACTGTTTTTTGGTTTTGTTTGCTTGCTTTTGTAGGGATCTATACTCACCACAATCTCCTTTAAAATTACAAAAGTTTTGTAGCTAAAATTTAAGAAGTTTCATTTATTCAAAAATTACTCCAATGCCTACCCCAGGCTCTGAGGAATAAAAAACATGAAACATACCAGATCCTGCCCTCACTGAATTTGCAGTCTTGTGGAAGAAATACAACAAAGGGAGTAATTATACTCAAAAGGGGAGGTGGGCTGCCAGAGCTGACAGGTGATAGGTAGCTCCCACGAGAAATGAAATGGTAAATGCAATTGTCAAGAATCACAGTATTCACAATCCATACAATCCTAATATAAAACTAATTTGCCTCACTGTTACAGCCTAGAAGAGAAAAAACAGTTTACTTCCAAGGTTTTGTAACAAATGAGAAGAGCTAAAATCAGTTMGCTAAAAACCTACAGTAAGTACACCCAAGTCGCTGTAGAGGTAAGCAGCAAAGTAAATAAAACACAGTAATAAAGTTAATTCAGAAGACTACATTTTAAAAACATCACATCTACGAAATACCACAAAGACATTTGTTTTGGACAGACCTCTGCAACAAGCGGAAAGAGGGAAAGACTAGGTGTGTGCGACATTAGTTTAGAAGTTCGTTTTGTGTGTAATGAGGATGGAAAATGTCAACTCTGCCTCTATTTTCCCCTTTACCAAACAGTATCCAGTCCTCCATTCGTTCTCGACAAATCTAAAGTGAAAACAAATGGACTGATATCTGCAAAACATTTTCAAAGTTTCCAAAGATTTTTCTAAGTACACACCTACAGGGAGAATACCACGAGTAACTACACTCACCAGGTCACAAGTATTAAAGTAGGTACAGTGGTAGTACCCAATTCCCAAAACTGTTACAGCCAAGGCTCCTGCAGGCTAGTAACAAAGTATTTAAATGCCCAGTGCCTTAGTCACAACTCTTTTTGACGCTGCTCCTTAGGGCTCCGCTGGGAATCCCTGCAAACTCGGATCACCTGAAGTGAGATGAGGCAGGCGAGGGAATCCAACAAGTTCTCCAAGTGAGATCTGGAGAATACGTCTCGCCCCGTCAATGCCACAGGGGCTGTGTCCCAGTGGCGGAGGTCTAGGGCGGTGCCACCGCGCACCTGCCTCCCTCCAGTCAGTTTCGCCTTCGGCGACCCACTCGGCCTCAGCTGACTTGGGTGTGGACGCAGAGGTGGGGGTCCCGCCGCGCCTCTGGCTCCGCGCTCGCTCGCAGAAGTGCAAGAGAAAGTGCGCTGGGACCCAGCGCTAGGCCAGCGCAGCCGCCGCCCTCCTCCGGGCCTCCACGCCTGCGGCCACCTGAGCCCCTGGAGGGGAGCGGAGGGAGGGCGGGAGGACCCGGCACGGCTCCACTCACCTTCTGGATGGAGGACTTGCCGCTGCGCCGCAGCCCCATGAGCAGAATCCTCGGCTTGGAGCTGTCAGCGCCCCCCGGGCCACAGCCGCCGCCGGCCCCCGCCCCAACCCCGCCGCCCGCCGCCGCCGCCTCCTCTTCTTCCTCCTCCACGCCGTAGCCGAAGTCCTTTGGGAACGAATCCGCAGCGCCGTAACTACCGGCGAGGGGCGTCTCCTCCGCCCCGTACTGCAGGGACATGGTGCTGGACCGCCGCCGCCCGCGCCCTGACAGGCCAGGCCAGGCCGCCGCCTCCCCAGGCCGCCGCCGCCGCCGCCGCTGCCACCGCCCCCGCCCCCGGCAGCCGCCGCCGTCCGGCCAGCCCCCCCGCACAGCCCGACTCTCATAGGCCCCGAGCTGGGATCCAACGCCTCATTGGCTGCCCGAGCCGCCACTCGGAAGCAGCAGGGTAGGTGGTGCCCGTCACGTGCCCGGAATCACCTGACTCCCAGCAGCAGAGGGGGGAGGAGGAGTCACGAGGAGGGCCGCCCGGCCGCGCCTCTCGCCGGGCTCTGTCTCTCTGCCCGCGGCCCAGCCCGCACGCACCTTGGTCCTGCCCTGCACGCACAGTTCTCCTCAGTTTCTCTACCTTCTTCCGAGCTCTCGAGAGCACCACAAGGGGAGATGCTCTGCTTTGGGAGAATAACCGATTGTCCTCCTCCTCCAATTGTACTCGCCGAACCGATACTTATTGATGCCTGTGACATCCTGAGTATCTAACAAGGGGCTTGAAACTGGAACCGACTTGGACCTGCCTGTCCTCACAACTGCTTGAAGATTTAAGAGATCGGACCTCTGCGTAAGTAGCCTCGGCACGAGATAGTGTGTGGGAATGCCTTAGGCACAGATGAAATGCGGGAGAATTGGCGTCCGAGTAGGTCTAGACGGATGGATGCAGTTGGGGTGAGCAGAAGTATGAAGGATRAGCCAGCTGGAAGGCAAAGCCTCAACCAAGGCAGTCATGGGTGGGTGTGATAGCTTCGTTTAGCAAGTAGTAGGACCGTGATAGGAAAGCAAATGCAACCAAGGTAGACTTTCTTTCTTCAGCAAATAGCTGGTATTGAAAGCTGCTACCACTTCAAACTCAGCAGGACTCAATTTCCTGTCCTTCCCACATAGTCAAAACTTTACTTCTCCAGTAATTCCACCCCCCTACACACACACACACCGTAGAACGCTGCTTCTCTGATCTTTTCGGATTAGAGACCCAAGGAAAGAATAACGGAAGCACACTAAAGCAAATGTTGGTTACCAAGAATGTTTGAGAAAAAATACAAGAATTGTTGCTTTTCAGTCTCTAGAAGGAAATTTGACAACAAAGTACAGCCATACACGTTTTTAAAAGGTTGGGGTGGTTTTCCAAGGAGACTTGATTATGAAAGCAGAGTACACTTCATGCACATCTAGGACTATATTCCAAAGGAGGAGAGCTCACTTTCTCAAAAGGCAGCCATTCCATTGGGGTAGAGTTTTGCTTAAAACTTTCTTATTCAAGTCAATAATCATACTCTGAAGCCTAAAATGGAACACAATATAATGTTTTCATAACAGCCCTTCAAATATTAAACTGCAGTCTTCATTAACCCACCAAGACAGTCTTCTCTGTTCCACACTAAACATCTTAAGTTCTCTCAACTATTCCTTCTATGGAACTGTTCCATAGAACTTTCTGTAATGATAGAAATGTTCTGAATTTCTGCTGTTCAATATGGTAAGCACTGGCCACATGTGGATTGAGCACTAGACCCATTGCCAGTGTGACTAAGAAACTGAATTATTTTTAATTTTAATTGCCACATGGAGCTAATAGCAACCATATTGAACAGCACAGCCTTATATTTTCAAATCCCCTTTCCCTATTGGCTGTTCTTCCTTTATATGCATTCAAGCTTCCAATGTCTGGCACTTACAGAGCAGTACTGACCCACACAGTATTCTTTCCCCTAATCCTTTCCAGACTGGATTTTTTTTAAGTATCTACAGAATATAAGTAGTTCACACTGGCCATCACTGGAACTATTTTGTTGGCAATCTTATTTCCTAAACTAGTATAACTACATTTCTAAGAYTTGATATTCAACTTGTGGTTTGGGCCCAGAATTTGGGTACTCTAGATAGATAACCATTTTAAAATTTGTTCCAATATTGTCTACCAACCAGCCCTTCCAATTTTGTGGCACTCACACATTTGGCATTATTACCTCCTGATCTGTAATTCTTTTGTAGTTTTGAAGGCACTTGTTACATTCATGATATTTAATTTGATCCTTACAATAACCTTGTGAGGTAGGCAAGATGTGAAATCTATATTTTATAGATAAGTCAGCTGAAGTATAGCAGGACTGAAGAGATCCATTTTCTAATCCATTGAGTATATACACAGTCTTCATCCAAATCCTTGATAGAAATGTTGAAGAGGCTCTCCAGAAGCCAGGCTGACCCCAAATTCTGAAACATCACTGGATAGTACAGCAGTTAAAAGCAGGTCATTTCCACTTAAGGTGTGATTATCCAACCCATATGTTGCCATTCTGTCCAAAGGGATGGTACAAGACAGTGTCACTAATTTGTTGACATAAATAGTAATACTAAAAAAACAAGAGGGTTTGCTGCCAGGAAAAAAAAAAAAAATGTGCTTGTCTGTATCCACAAAGGGACTGCTGCCACATCAACTGCTTCAAGAAGCCAAGTCTTCTCTCTCTTGGGGTCATGTTTTATTATTCTTACAGTTTTTAGCACATCCTAACCTTGTAATTGTTTATGTACCTGTTTTATAAACTACTTCAAGTCATTCATTTTTATTATACCCAGCCCTTAGCTACTGCTGTCCACATAGAAGGCACTCCAAAAAGAAAAGAAATCTATCCAAGTAAATATTCTTCCAGTAGTATCTGGCATTCTCCAAAAACAAACTTGTGACTAGAAGAGACAAATCAGCCACATTGTTGTCAACACAACTGATTTAAATGCCCATATAATTGGCCTGGTCAGTTTTCAGCAGGTGTCAGTGTCTTTGCTAGTTAAACCAGCTTGCTTTGGATGTGTTTTGAATAAAGACAAGTTCTCTAACAAYAGGGATGGAATACATGAAATAGGAACACTTCTTCAAAATGCCAGTCTATCAGTGAGGAAAATAAGTGATTAATACAACAAAACAAAAAGATTGTAAATCTTCCAAAAGAAAAGGAAAAAGACTAACAAACAAGAATATAGTGGTTTACCATTTACAAATCTTTCACATACATTCTCATTTGACCCTCACAACAACCCTGTGAGGTAGGCAGCACAGACATTCTTCTCAATTAACAGATGAGGAAAGTGAATCTAAGAGCAGTTAACTGATGTGCCCAAGGTTCTGTAGTTAGCAAATAGTTTGTAATATCAGTCTTTGGCCTAAAAATTCAGTGCCCAACCTCCCCTCATACTTGCCCTACCTACTTCACAGGGATAATGAAGATAAAATGATTGAAAATTAGAAAAATACTCTGAGGGGAAAAACCACTATATAATTATACCCAACATTGCCCATGATATATGGCTCATTCCTCTTCTCATTCCAGTTTGTGCATGAACCAGAATTTTATATTACTTCTGTGCTCAACTAAGCAACTAAGTAAGGCAGGGTAATAGTGTGATCCTGTTTAAAATTATATAAATTACAATCAGGGTAACTGCATTATTAATCAAATTGAAAAACAGACAGGCTAATGTGCAACTAGGACCCAATAAAGCACACAGCAAAACAAGGCAACATTATCAGATAGGGCATGATTGCATAGAAGGAAAACGTGGTGTCAGAGTTAAACTGGCACACACACAGTTACCTAAGGCAAAGTGGTGGCAAARAAGAGTTATTTGTTCTGCATTATATAAATAAGAGAAGATGATTTGTGGGAACCCATGCAAAAGCATCTTGTCACACAGATCTCTCCAGCTGCCTAAAGAGAATATAAACTCTGTCATCTTCATTGTCGAGAATGATTCTATCTATTCTTATATCCTGAACTAAACCAAGGAATACCTCCATGCTAATCTTCCTTGGCTAAAATACAACTAGTACCATTATTCCTAATCAGACTAATAAATAGATATCTTTTAATGAATTAGATGGCTGTTTAATTTTTTTTCAGGATTCACTTTGGATTCTTCTGCTTTAAGACCCAAAGCAAGTTATATTGAGTTTTTATTGGTGATTCTAAGTATATGTGTTTATAACAGTTGAAGTGTGAATTTAACATATTAAAAGAGTTTTATAGCATCTGTTCAGAAAAGATTATATACTATACAAACTATTCAAGTCATACAAAACCATTTTTTCAGTGTCTTTTCAACTGAGAAGAATCCTATTCAGCACGCTTCTCCTCCTGAGGTGGTTCATACTGAGCAAGCTATGGGGTAAAGACAGAGGAGTTTAGGTGAATTTTATTCTAAATTGGTTTAAAAAGTTAATAAAACAAAATGAGTTTATTWTATTCAATTTAGCTTCTGAATCAGTAATAAGTTTATAGAAACTATGCTTTCTAAAACAGTAATTTAATATAATCAAACCTAATGAAAGCCCTTTTCAAACATTTAATGTTACTGAGAAACTACAATTTCAGTTCGTGACTGAACTGTTCAAGTACTTGTTATACAATAATCTAAGTCTTCATAAAGATACTATGCCTTATAATAAGGAACTTTCTTCCACTCCACCAAAAGTTTACTGAAATTTCCCCTAAAAAGTAGAGGAAGCCAGTGTGGTCATGCATGCCTGTAATCCCAGTAATCCGGGAGGCTAAGACAGGAGGATCTCTATTTCAAGACCAGTTTCAGCAACTAAGTCAGTCCCTGTCCAAAAATAAAAAAAGGCTAGGGATGTGGCTCAATGGTAAAGCACCTCTGGGTTCAAAAAAAAAAGTAGAGGGGAAAGATTTATGTAATGAGTATTAATATGGCTAGTCTATGTCTTTGACTTACAAAAAAAAAAAAAAAGTAACTAATGTCTTTGACTTAAAAGGTGCCAGAGTTTACTAGCACTTGCCTAGTGTGGAATCTTAGATAGTTTAAGATACTGCATTTTAAGATACTGCATTTTCTTTAATATATTAAGTTGTGCTTCCTTAACCTGGTTAAGTTTTGTACTCTTCCAATTAGGTGTCATACTTGAAAAGTTTGTTAACTTCACTGTGCTTTAAATTCTCTCACCTATAAAATGGCCTGAGTACCTGTTTAACTTATCTCAGAGTTATTGAGATCATAAAACACATTATGAGAAATACCTAGAGTAACATA